GATCAGAAATATTTTCAGTAAGGACCAGGCAATCAGAAAGAAGTGAAAGCGTGAGAACAACTTGAGTTTTCATCCTCTCTCAGATCTGTTCTTTTCTTCTCCTGCATGTGCTCTCTGAGCCAGAGACGCTCGTCTCCATGTGTGCTCCCACACTGGCTTGTCCTTTTGCCTGAAATGCTCTTCCCCAGGGTAGTTGACTCCCTCATCTCCTTTGAGTTTTTGCTCCAATAGAATCTTTTCAGTGAAGCCTGCCCTGATGCCTTTATTTAAAATTGCAAACCCTCCTTTCCATTCCTGCACTTCTCATCCCTGTTACCCAACATAATACCTTTTTTTTTTTTACCATGGTATATGTATCATGTTCTAACATGAATAATAATTATAATTATTGTTACTATTATTATGTCTCTCCCCCAAACAGCAGCGATTTTAATCTTTCATTTATTGTATATCTCAAGCACCTAAAAGAATGCCTGGCATGTATTAGGTGCTCAATAAATAAATGTTTAAATGGATAAAGGGATGAATTTTAATACATAGCTTGAGGGTATTGAACAGAGAGCCTTGGGGTGGTAAGTATCTAAAGCAGCGATTTTCAACCTTTTTCATCTCATGGCACTCATAAACTACTAAAATTATGTGGTGTATCAAAAAAATATATTTTCTGCCAATCTGACAAAAAAAATGTATAATATTGATTCATTCACATCAGATGGCTATTGTTATGTTGTCTGTTGTCATTTTTTAATTTGACAATCTAGGGGAAAAGAGGTCAGTGCCCCTGACTACACATGTAGTCAGGTATTGCACGTTTTAAAAATTCTTGCCGCAGCACACCAGTTGAAAATCACTGGTCTAAAGCGATGGAAGTACAGATGAACATGGTTGTGATATAGATCAGCGGCCAGCCTCACAATTTTGCCTACAACTAAACCTTCACTTATCAAATAAACAGACTTTGTAAAAATATGTAATTTATTATAATTTTTAAATATGCAAAGTGAAGTTTTCTTGGTAATGAATATGTGAGCCTCACAGTAATTATAATGAACATAACTTATTTCTGTGCTCTACTTCATTGCCAAAATTCTTTTTCATAAAATTATAGCCATTTCACTGGGTACTTACAGGCAAAAAACACAGTTTTACAAAATGTCAAACTCTAGTTCTGTGTTTTCATGGGACAGATTTATTTCAGTAACAAGTAATTTACTGACATAAGACATGTTTGTTATATGCAAATGTCAGTCTGTTCTGGGTTACCAGTGCCTTCAGAAATTTGATATTTCTCTTTGCATTGATCTCATTGGATTCCAGGTATGAGCTAGTGGAAGATCACATTGTTGGTTTTCCACCTGTTGTGCAAGACCGCCCAACCATAGTAATACTGTCCTCGTTGAACTTCAGATTCATTTCTAAAACACTCATGATCCCATAACTTGGAAAAATTAAGCACAATCTGGGCATCAAGATACCAACCAAGGATATTTTTCACATTATGCTACAATAACTTCTTCACATATACATCAAAGTAGACAGAAAATAGTTTGCCGATGTGCTTAATAAAAATTGAACTTGGAGGGAACAGTAAAATGTACTGAGGATAAAACAGTGACACATTTTTGGAACTTGAGCCATAGGCATTGATCTTTTTTATCCACTCAAAGAACATTTTTTGTACTCTCTGAGCCCCAGTTTAGAAAAAGATTTTTTAAATTCAAGTTTGTATCCTCAAAGAGATTTGAAATTATTGCATTCACTTTGTGGGAGAGAGGAAAAGGAGTGGAGGAAGGTGCTGTTTTTTAATTGAGAAAATGAGTACTTGAAAACTTATTTAAAAGTAAGATTTTCCAGAATAAAAAGTTCAGTATAAAAGTAAGCAAATAAAGTCAAGGAAGTCTCAGAAAAATGCAGACAAAAAATAGGAGAAAAAAGATAAGTGACGTAAAGGATTCCATTCCAAACATACAAATTCCAGCTAATAAAGGAGCTGCAAAAAGAGAAACCCTGGGAGATGGATGGTAGAAAATTATCAAAGAAATGTTAGAATTCCCCCAGAGGTAAAGCATTCAGGTCCTTAGATTATAAAGGTTCACCAAGCATCTAGCATTCTGAAGGAAAGAAGATCCATATTTATCTCACTAGTGTGGAATTTCAGAAGTACGAGGACAGAGAAAATTCTTAAAGCTTCCAGAAAGAAAAACCAGGTCGCCTACCAACAAGTGTATATCAGGCTAGTCACCCGCCTCATCAGCTGCCCTGGTTGCTAGAAGGTGATGGACCAATGGTGGCGACATCCTGAGGCAAGATTGTTTTTATTTTAGAATTTGGTACCAGGCCAAACTATACAAATGTGAAGACAAAATAAAGACATTGTCAGATGTACAGGGTTCAGAAAGTTTTCTTCTACATCACCTTTCTTAGGAAGTTACAAGGGAGTAATCCAAGAAAGAGAAAGACATGGAAACGAAGGATAGTGGATTCAACCAGGAAAGAGATATCCAAAGATAATAGCTGTGCAGCAAGGCCTAGAAAACAACCAATCCCCATGGGAGGACAAGAGAAGGCTCTCAGAAGAAGGGAAAGTGTGGATAAGGGCTAAGAAAAGATTAAGAATAATGGCCAAATTAACCTCTCCCTCATGCCGAGAATTATGTGGGGCTGTTAGAGGAAAAATAGAAAACTACAGGAAATTAGTAGAAATCAAAGTTAAAATATATCATGAATTTAAGCATTTGATGAAGTGTGTGTGTTGTTTTTTGGGGTTTTTTTTTTTAAGTCCCTTTGGATTGTCCTGGAAGTCACTGTTACAGCCCATATAAAGGGAAAGTTAATACACTTCCTAGCCTGCATTTGACCAATACATTGTCATGAAAATGTGGATGCTGTTGTATAGGCTTTCAGCCTTTAGAATCAGGCTGTGAAGAGAGCATGAAGGATTTGGTTGCAGTTATAGGAGAGAATGTCAGCTCTCTTAATATTAATAGAAATGTAAAAGTTCAACTAGTAGGAGGTGGGGGAAGTGTGAGAGAAAGAATGTATGGGCACTATTAGGTTTTTGTTTTGTTTTGTTTTTTTACAAAGTGAGGAATTAGGATCCTATCCAAAACTGAGAGAAAAGACAAGAGGTTTGTTTAAAAGTAAAATAACTATCCAATAGTGGTGAGGAACTTTATGGAAGCAAGGGGCATAATATAAGTAAGCCCCTCATCTTAATTTTTAAAATAGTAAGCATTGTCTTAAAACTTAACAAACTAAGAAATAAATTAAGTGCAGAAAGAACTAGTATTTTTTTAAAAGCCTAGGTATGGGGATAAGGAAAGATTTGCTTTTTATCATAAGCTCTTCTGTCACTGATTTGTCACTCGCATGCATGAATTTATTACTTTTGATTTTAAAAACAAAAAAATATTGTAGAGGGCTTCAATTGCCAAGGTGAAGCAGTACATTTAATTTGGGATAGCTTGGAGGAGGTTTTGAGCAATCTGGTCGTATGACTGGAGCTGTCTACTTTCAGAACATGAATTTGTCAGGAGGATGAATTGGACTGGCAGCGGCAGGAAGGGGCATTATGAGTAACCAAGCTAGTTTCAGTTTTCTAGAGGAAAGGTAATGAAGGATTAAACCTGGATGATACTGAAAATAGAAGAAGAATGAAAGGTATCCCCAGTACCATGCTTGATATGTAGTCGCTATTTTAGTATATGTTTATTGAGTGAAAGAATTAAAGGGAGACTGCATTTTTAGTCATTTGACAAAGAAAAGGAAGGGTAGACATCAGAGGTCCTTTCTTGCCTATGTTGCATCTTTATTTGTGACAGACAATTGTAGGTATTTGCTATGATATACAAGATGATAAAATATTACAGCCTAATAAAGAAAAGTGGTAAAACATAGAATGGTACATAATATAGTTCTTCACAGCCTCTTGATGTTAAATATTTTCCTCCAAATGTTAAATGTTTTATTTATTTTTAGAGAGAGGAAGGAAGAAGGGAAGAGAAACATCAATGTGTGGTTGCCTCATGCACGCCCCCTACTGGCCCCAAAACCCAGGCTTGTGCCCTACACTGGGAATTCAACCTGCAGGCCTTTGGTTTGCAGGCCGGCACTCAATCCACTGAGCCACACCAGCCAGGGCAATGATTTTTTGATTTAACATTTAGAGTTATTTTGTTTTATGGTTATTTTTTTCTCCCCTCACAGATCTCAGGTAGTCCTAGAAACAGATCATAACTTTGAAATTTCAAACAGAACAAACTTCAGCCTACTAATTCAAATGGCCTTGCTGAGGGTAGAAATCTCCACTTTCACCCTGGGATATTTTTCAACCCCTGTTCATAATAAACAGCGTTTTTTTGTTTTGTTTTTTTTTTAAGTTTATTTATTTTTAGAGAAGGGGGATAAGGAGAGGGAGAGAAATATCGAGATATGCAAGAGATACATGGTTTGGCTGTCTCTCGCACGCCCCAAACCAGGGACCTGGCCTGCAACCGATGCATGTGTCCTGACCAGGAATCAAATTGGCAACCTTTTGGTTGGCAGGCCAGCACTCAATCCACTGAGCCACACCAGCCAGGGCTAAACAGGGTTTTTTGTACATAGCATTGGTCTACGTAATGCAACCACATGTCAGAACATAGCATATTAGTCTGATCTGTTTTCAGACCTCTTGACACTTTCTGCCCTCACCCCTTGAAAACTATTTATTCTAATTATTTCCCATAGGAAGAATGAAGACTTGAAACTACTCAGTGCTAATATTATGTAGAGGTTAAATTGGCCTGTGTGGTAGGCTGGTATTATTTTGTCTCTGACATTTAACTTGAAAGTATATTTGCTTGGCATGTGTTTTCTGTTTACTTGGTGGATCAGTGAAGGTGGTTTGCGTATACTAATTTGAGGATTTCTAATATATACTAAAGTCATATTACTTCGTTTATAGCTGGAGGAAGTAGCTCTGACTCTGTTCCCCCCCCCCCTTTTATTTGCATCAACAGGAGGAAGGCAGTATCAAAGAAATTGCAATCACACATCATGTAAAGGAAGGACATGAAAAGGCAGATCCTTCCCAATTTGAACTTTTAAAAGTATTAGGGCAGGGATCATTTGGAAAGGTAAGTCATGAGTATATGCTTTTTAAAAAATTGTTTTTTTGGAATTCATGTATATCTTATATGGGTGAGGAACAGAAATAGTCTATGAAATACTATTGACCTGACCTCCCCACAAACAGTGTTTTCTGTGTTTCTATGTTTCTCATTATCAGTAACGTGAGAAAGTTAATAAAAAGTCATTCAAAAACACATTGAAGACTTTCATAAATTGCAGTATTCACTTTATATTCATTTTATCTTCAAGACCATATGGCCTCTCTAATTGCACTCCTTGAGTGATTAAAAAGTCACAAAATATGTCATGGATGCACTGGCTTCTTTGAGTCCTCGTGCAGAATTGAAAGGCAGTCTTGCAATGCATCTCAGTCTTTCCTCCACAGTGTGTCAAATACCAGCAAGAAGTGAATGGGTACTCCCATGAACTAGTGTGGGGCGTTACCACTACAAGTGTGCAATTTCGGGGAGTTACAGTTTACCTTTAAAATGAACATAAAGGTTGCATTCTACCAACCGCGTTTGTTTTTAATATCCAAAATATTTCCCAAAGCCACCAACTTAGTTTTCTTCAAGTGTTCTTTGTCCCCCCGCAGCACACCTCAGAAGCACTCCCTGTATTCCATTTTGAGAAGTACAGCAGTATAATCACTACTACCTGATCTATCTAGTACCTTTCTCAGCAAGAGGAAGAATCTGAGATAGGATTCAACTTTCAACTTGCAGCACTTCCTTACCACCTCTCTGTGAGGAAACATTTGAAGATGTGCTTTGCAAGCTTTAAAGCAACACCCATTTAAGCTCTCTTTTGTGTTTTTATAGGACTAATTAGCAACTCTTGGCTAACATAGATTATTTGTTATAGCCGTTAACCTCTCCCGAACCCAAAATGATGTGTTTGATCCAAATATAGAGTGGCCAGCAGAACATAATGGTTGCGAGTTGGACTCTGGTCAGCCAGACATGGATTCAATTTTTTTTTCTTCTGCTTAATTGGCAGGTGTGCTTGAGCAAGTTAGTTAACCTCTCGGAGCCCCCTTTTTTTCCTTCCAGTTGGTCAGCAAGTCCTGTTGATTTAGTAAAGATTTCTGGAATCGTGCCTGTCCTGTCCTTCTCTACTGCCACTCCTCCAGCCTGTGCACCACCATTTCTTCCTGGCCTCTTGAAGGGGGCTCCTAACTTGGGCTTCCCAAGTTTATCCTTGCCTAAAACCATTATTTACTTGACAGCCAGCATGAGCTAATCTGATATTCCACCTCCTTAACCCTTTAGTAACCTCCCTTTGCTTTTAGGATAAAGATAAATTCTAAAGCTGGCTGAGGAGCCCCTAGTTCAAGTCCTTGGGTACCTCAACATGACCTTATATACTTTTCACTATCTGTGTTCTGGCCCCGTTGGCCTTCTTTTCCAGTCCTTAAGCACCTGATCCATCCCACTAGAAAGCCTTTGCACGTGCTGTTCCCTTTGCCTGAAACACTCCACACAACCCCCAAGCCTTTCTCATTTACCTGTTAGCTTCTCTCCTGCTTATGACCTCAAAGAAGTTTTCCCTGCCATCATGACTAGGTCATATTTCTCTATTTCACCCTCTCAACATTGTACACCTCATCTTCACAGCACTCATCACAATTAGTTTTTTACTTGTATAATTATTTGTTTATTGGCTCTCTCCCCCACTAGACTATATGTTCTATGAGTGCAGGGGCCATGCCTTGTACCATGTCTGAGCATAGAACTAGTCATACAGTACCTAGCATATAATTCTAGAAAGGAATTGATGAATAAATGATAGTGCTTGACCTCATAGGGTAGTAGCGATGATTAAATGATGTAAGTTTAGGTGCATAACATCTGCTTTGAAATTGTATTATCATGCAGTGTTTACAGATAAACTCAAATAGAGGGGTTTATTTCTATACATTAGATTTTCAGGGAATACAATATTTAAGTTCCCCAGAGTTAGCATGCTTCTCCCTGTATTTCTTTAAATACTTTAAATAACAAACATTAAAAACAGGGCGTCTCCTTTCTTACTCATCCTAAAAAGCCAGTCCAAGCCAAGGGAAAAAGGATGACCTGTCAGAGCCTAGAATAGCTTCATGGGGGAGTTCGAAAGGTCAGAAATGGTCTGGTGGGGGAAGATCCAATGACATCTGGGACTGTTGCTGTTCTTGCTATGCTTGACTGGTGAACAGCCAGAGGGACTGGATTAAGAACGACCTAAGCAGGAACACAAAACTGGGTAGCTGGCTTGGTTGTTGTCCCAATACCTCCACTGTTGTAACAGTAGGCAAAGTATTTAACCTCTCTAATCCCTAGCTTGGGCAGCTATAAAACAGGCATTGCTTAGTCTGCCTACCTCCCCAAATTATCATGATGATGTATTACAAATGCCTGCAAAGGTCTTTTACAGACTAAGAAGTGCTGAGAAGTGTTAAGAATGTGCTTTCAAAGAAGGATGAAAAAAGTTTGGAATCCACAAGGAGAATTTTTCTTGTACAATGGCACAAAGAAGCTTCATTAGGGAATCTTAAGAATGAATAAATATCATAAATCCTAATTACCTCCATCTAATTACGATTTATTTCTGTTCAAATATATTACTCTATTCTGCTGTGTATGGTGCACACTTTTTTGCCCAAATTTTTGACAGAAAAAGAAGGATGTGCATTATACATGGATATAACGATTACATACCATAGGTTATAATAATGTGCACAATAATCCTGTGCATAGTGCGCACAAAACATGGGCACGCAGTATACTCAGGAGTACATTATACCTGGCAAAATATGGTAATAATCTCTGATAACCATTAACATTTGAACATCATTCCATTCTTTGGAATTCCCTGATCAAGAATGCTTTTCATGGCCCAGGCTAGATAGCTCAGCTCAGGTAGCTCAGTTGGTTAGAGCATGGTCTCACTATTCCAGGGTTATGAGTTCAGTCTCCGGTCAAGGTACATATAAGAAGCAAACAATGAATGCATAAGTAAGTGGAACAACAAAGTGATGCCTCTCTTTTTCTCCCCCGTTTCTCTCCCTCCCCCGCAACCTCTCTAAAAATCAATAAATAAAAAAAATTTAAAAAGAATGCTTTTCTCTCCCTAGGTTGGCTCACTGCTAACTGTCTGGAAGGAATTAAAGGGTGGTGCATGGTAAAGGGGGCAAACGGAAGTGGTTTGGGGAAAGGAACACACCTTGCTTGCATCAGGGTTTCTGTGCAAGTTCTGGTTCTCTTCAGTTGAATTAGAGTCATTGCCCATTATTTGGCACAGTTTCTCCAAGTGAGGTACTGTGCCCTAGAGTCAGTTGAATGAATCTCTTTTTTTTAAAATTTTGTGCTAATTGTCTGGCGTGCTAATGCAGATAATTGAGGGCTGACCCTAAATTAATTCTTGATTGTAATTGTCTATTTCAATCTGTGGCAGTTCAATAGCACTGCTAGAAAAGAATGGGTAGGAGAAAAACAGTTCAAATTCAGATCCATTTGCAGGTCTGTTTAAAGGTTTGACGGAAGAGACCATGAAACTAATGGTCAAAGGAGTAGAAGAGATTTATCGATGGTTTTGTATTACACTTATTACAGTGTAACCATGAACTATTTAGAGCAGGCTTGGTTCACTTTGTATAAATCCCACGTTATATGTTGAAAGGAGCTAAAAATATCTGGAAAATGAAGATGCTCAATACCATACCTAGGAATTGTGTCCTTCCTATTTAGGTGTATGTGGTCATTTGATTTTTGAAAGGTAAGTTTTTACTAAGTTACATTAAATATTTGTGAATAGGCTTCTTCAGTGTGTTTCAAATTGTTCTGCCCAGCAGTGAGAAATTTATGTGCAGTTTTCATATATAGAAAATACTATTCATGAATGAATAATTATACGAACAGAAAATTGTGGTCAAGGGGAACTCCTATATAACAATTTTTAAGGAATCAGAAAACTTTTTGTTTTGTTAAAAAGCAGAGCAATCACCATCTGTGTTACTCTTTAACCATGTTAGACTTTTCTCTAATTGCTGCATAGCTTAAATCTTTTTGTTTCTATTTTATATGTTACATGCTCTTTGGGATTTGACAAGTAACAAAAAGAGGTCACAATCATTCAAGTTATAAATGATACATCAGGTGTCTTATTTTAACAATAGTATACTTTGTGAAACTTTGTAAAACTTATTTTCTCTTATTTAAACACAGGTTTTCTTAGTCAAAAAAATCTCAGGCTCTGATGCTAGACAGCTTTATGCCATGAAAGTACTGAAGAAGGCCACTTTGAAAGGTAAGTGCTGCTACTATTTGTAATGTTCGTGTAATATAAATAAACTAAAAGATCTCAATAGACATCATGTGACTCCTAGGCCACTTACATTCTGAATCTGTTCCTGTTCCTATCTTTAAATTTAGACTTTCTTTTAGTGAATTTTTCCTACCGGGCTAGGACTCATATGACTGGTGAGAATGGGAGTTGCCATATTATGAAAGAAGTATTATATTATAAATTCATTTTGGGTTCAGGCAAGTAGAAATTTAGAAGATTAAAACTGGGTTTGATGTATCTTCAAATTAATATAATTATTTTAATGTTCTGAAAACTTACTGTTTTATTGGATTCAAAATATTTTATTCTAAGGACTCTCATCATCTTTACTTTTGGTCTTCAAATAAGTTTTATTCCAAGCTTCTGATTTTGAAAAAGTGTAATGTGAGACTTGGCTCTTATAGGCAAACAATCATTTAGAAGAAATTTTACATAGATTTTTAAATACTTAAATCTTTTATTTAGTAGTATCAGTTATTTCACCACAAAAATCTCTAGTTTTATGTATTGATTGCTAACATCATTCTTTTCTTTTTTAATTTACCTGTAATCTCTAAAGCTTTTAAAATATTCTAGAAGGAACATCGGTGAGGATCATTTATTAATTCTGATATTATTCTTCCCAATTAGTCACCCACCTTGGGCATTATCATCATTCCAAGAAATTTCACCTTCCTTTATAAACATTGTCCTTTGCTTTCTTTCTCTTGCTCCCTTCCCAAATATATTTTGTTTCTTTCTTATCCAGTCCCTACCCACTGCCTTACTCCTTAACTTGATTCTTGCTAGGACCAGGGAGTTAAATCATGTCCTCAATGCCCTTTTTTATAGCACTACTTTAGAACTTTATACTCATGAACCCCATATTACAAAGCTACATAGATGGAACTTCTATAAGAGTTCATTCACAAAATGAGTAAAAGAGTTTGTTTTCATGTACCTACCAGTATTTGTGTTGTACATAATATATGTAATGAAAACTGAGGAACTCTGAGAAACCAAAAGATACCAGAAAAAGAAATAAATGCCCACTTCCTTTTAGAGAAGGCGAACTGTTGGAAGTCTCCATATTCCTCTAGCCATCCAGTTAGCTCCATATCCTCAAGATTCCAGATGCATCTTTCCTTGAAATACTCAAAATTTCATTTGAAAAGCATACAACACAAAGAGTGTTCTAGAAAAGAAGAAGAATGATAAAGGAACGGGCTCTATCAGATTTATAGCTTACTTAAAGCAATAATAATTCAGTATGCTGTTGCGGCAAATAATACAGACATACAAATCAGTGGAACAAAAGAGTATAAAAGTATTTATATTAAATTTTTACTGTATTTGTTACAAAAATATTGAGTACTTCCTGTGCTGTATGACAAAGCAGGTATATAGAACAATGGGAAATAAAACAATTATTTCATAAATCTTGTCTGAAATACTCCTGAGCAACTTGGAAAAATTAGAGTCTTAAACCCTATGCTGTTGTTTATATTGTAATAAACAACAGTCTTAAGGGAATTTTACAAGTTAATACACCTAGAAAATTTATGAAGCAATATTGAGCAAATTACAAATTACAAATTGACAATTCGAAAAAAATTTTAGTCTTTCATACATTGAAAAATAGTATAAATAGGAAATCAAGAAATTGTTTGCCTCAAATATTACAAAATACTAATATAAGGAATTGGTTAAAGGGTTTTTAACTAGCCAAATCTAGGACAATTTGAATATTTCAATAAATGATGATAGTAATAGATAATGACCCCACTGAATAAAACAAGAATCCATGAGTTAATATATAAATTAACGGGGAACAAGGGAGAGAGCTCTTCCTCACAAAAGAACTCCAACTAATAATTGTGAAAGGAGTGATTGAATTAGTGGTTCCTAAGAAATAATGTTACAACATCACCAAAGGATTTCAGAATAAATGTTTTTGCCGTAGAATAAAAAAAAATCTTTGGAAAAAAGTCCCATTTTGCTGATAAAGAAATGTATATCAAGTACTGAGTCATCATTTAATGGAATGGAAACATAAATTGGAAAGCACTTTTGCAATAAGTATAAAGAGCCACTATTGCACTTGAAAATTCTCATTGTAACATTATTTACAATATCGAGAATTTACATATCAACATAAATATTGAAAAATAAAGGAATGCTTAAAAACTTATGGGATACCATTTAATAGACTATTATTTAAATGAAACATTTAAAATATAATCACAACATGGACTTAATTGAATATTTTTAAGTTAATAATTATAACCGATTTGTCTACTGTAAGTATGTAAAATTACATCGATACAAGCTGTAGAACAGACCATAGAAAAGTGAAAATATCTGACTTACTGGAATTGTAGGCTGCTGAATAATTCTTGATATGTTCTTAAATTTGATTTTTATTTTTATCAAAGTAATATGTGTACAGAGTCTTATAAAATAGCAGTGCTTTTCCTACCCTCCTCCCTGTCCCAATTCTTGACTCCCAGAGACAATGACTTTTCACCTCTTCAGGTGCTGCTCCTACCATTTACCTCCACATTCAGTACTCATATTGCATTTTTTTGTGTGTTCATCTGAAGACATAATCTACTGACATCCAAACACGGAAGATTAGGATTTACTTATTTTATACTACCACCCACACACAATTTCCCTCTTCATGTTTTGTTTTCATTGTTACAGCTTTGTGAAAACTGTTTCTGAGCTAAATGATATATTGGAGTCACATTTCCTTCACATCTTTGCTGTATTAGATCTCCTTTTCTAAATTCTGTATCTACCTGTTTGTCCGTTTACTTTCTAGTTTTTGTGGAACATCGGGTAGCTACCTCAGAGGGGGTGAAGAGATAGTAAATTTTTTGTGACCTTGCATGTCTGAAATGCCTTTATTCTACCTCCTCACTTAATTTATAATTTGGCTGGGTGTAAAATTCTAGGTCAGAAATAATTTTTCCTCAGATATTTGAAGACATTGTTTCCATTGTCTTCCAGTTTCCTGTGTTGCAATTATGAAGTTTATTGCCATTCTGATTCCCAGTCCTTTGTGTATAAGCTGCTTTTCCTCTTTGGAAGTCTTTAGAATCAATCTACTCTTTATCTCTGGTGGTCTGAAATTTGTATAGTTGTATTTCTTATTGTGGCTTTTTAAAATTCTTCATACTAGGTATGAGATGCCTTTTTTGATTTAAAAACTCATTTCTTCAGTTTTGGGGAAGTATTCCAACTCTCCTAGTGACCTTTTTGTTTCTATCATTTTTTTTTTAACTTTCTAGATTTTCCTTGTTCTCTAATTATTCCATTTTCATTTTCATTTTTTTAAGATTTTATTTATTTATTTTTAGAGAGAGGCGAAGGGAGGGAGAAAGAGAGGGAGAGAAACATCAATGTGTGGTTGCCTCTTGCATGCCCCCTACTGGGGACCTGGCCCACAACCCAGGCATGTGCCCTGTCTGGGATTCAAACTAGGGACTCCTTGGTTCGCAGGCCAGCACTCAATCCACTCAGCCACACCAGCCAGAGCTTAATTCCATTTTTTAAAAACTTTTTATTATGGTAAGTATCAAACATTTACAGAAAGAAACAGAAGATAGTATCTGTAAAAGATGAAGACTCTTAAAAGAAGTAATATATAACTATCATGTACCTAAAAATGAATATACAGATATCCAGTGGTCCCTATTATTATGATTCATTTTTATTTTAGCAGTTGTTTGAATCAGGCTCTAAATAAGGTCTGTGTTTTGCAATTGGGTGATAACTCTTTGAGACTTTTAATCTATGAGCTCTCTCTCCATTTTTTTTTTCCCATTGTACTTTATTTGTTGAAAACTCTGCTTCCTTCCCCCTACTTCTTTTAAAGCTTCTTGTTTCACGGATACCATATGATCTTCGCTCTCACACTGGATATAAATTAAAAGGCTGATTTTTGTTTTAAGTTTTCTCCTGTTCTTTACATTGTCTTTTTTTTACTTTATTCCTTTTTTTTTTCCTGTTTATTCTGTTAACAGTTTCTCATATTTAGAGCCTTTCCTCAAATGCCTTGGGATCCTTTGCTATCTTTTCCTTATTTAAGTTAAATAAGTTATCTGTTATTTAAGAGTGAGGTAACAAAAAGCTGATTGGAAAGGATTCTGTAGCAAGAATTTGCTTATTGCTTATTATCTTCCTTCCCTTGGGCTTAGATTTTAGCTCTCTCTGATCTATGTGAGTTACCACTTACTCATCTTCTGCTATTGCTTCCTCTCCTCTTCTCTGTCCTTGAGAGTTTGTGAATAATTTTTCCATTATTGTAATTTCAATGGTCTTTTGGAAGGAAGTAGAAAGTAAAACATCTATGTTTAACCAGAAGTCTCTTTCTATTTTAAAGTTTCCATTAATACAGTAAATGTGGTCAAATAAAAATCAATAGTGTTAGGTTCAGCTTACGGGGACTTTTGCCCTAATAAAGTAGATATTGGGTCTAAAAGGTTTTATAAACCATTGTTTAAAGCAGTTTCTTAATACATCATCCTAGAAGCATAAACAGCACTTCTTGTTCATTCTCATGTTCAAGTGAAGGAGGGTTTAAGAACTAATAACTAGTATATGAGAAAATTATTTCAGAGGAATGTAGTTGCTTTGATAGCATGAGTCATTATTAACAAGTTCTATATTAGGGTTTAGATTTTGACTGTAACTGAATGTAAACTGTAGTTGAAAAGTAAAATTAAAAATAAAAATAAACTTAAAAATTAAAAAATTGGAAAAACAGCTTTATTGAGATTTAACTGGCATATAATAAGCACATAAAACATGCTTTCTTATGAACCAGTATATCCTAATCAAAATTCCTGATTATAGAGTGATTTGTATTTGTCACTAGGTCTTTACATAAGTAAAAGAAACAAAATTTTAATTACTACACAGTTCTACCTCAGACAAAATGAAGGAATTCTTTAGTGAATGAATCTCACTGCACATTTTTGACTAAACAAAGTCTCATCAATGTTACATATAAGGAAACAGTCTCCCACGATAATCATAGTATATGTAAGTTAACAGTTAGAAAGAAAGCATCTTGTTCTAGTCCCTCATTTTATAGAGAATATAGCAGGAAGCCCTTGAGCAGTGAAAGGATTTGACCAAGTTAACTCTTCTAGTTATTAGCATGACCACTAAACTATAGCTTTTGACCCCCAAATAATTAGGCTTTTCATTGTGGTAGAATAATAGAAGAGGGATATACAGTAACTATAATGATGGGCATTTTTGCTGCTTACTGAACAGAGGAATAATTTTTAAATGAGAAGCTTTGTAAGGTCTGTATAATTTTTGAAGGAGGTAGAAATTTGGAATCCAGCTTTAAGGTACTATGAACTTAATCCGTATGGGTAACAATGGGAAAAGGGCAGATTTGGGCTAGACTAGGACAGGATTATCAGGAAGCCTAGGTGATGAACCTCATTCACACAAATTATAGAAAGGACCTATTGGCTCTAAGACCCCCAAGTTGTAGTGATAGGACAAGATAATGAAATCAAAGGTTGGTATTGAATTTGGTATTCTAGTCGCACAAGTCAGTTAAAAGGAGTGACAGAGACATCAAAAGTGATCGATTTCTATTCCTGGTTTGACCATCACTGACACTTCTACTGGAAGCAGAAAACTAGTAGAATGGGAAACAGGATTTTTTTTAGCTTCTTTGTTTATTTTTCCCAGAGGTCTTATTTCTGTGTTTTAAATATCTGTGGTCACCTTAAAATGAAAAGAAAACCAACTCATCTTTCTCTTGACCCTCTGAAAAGGTGCAACCTTTCAGTCAATCTGGCCTGAAAAATAGAAGTTATCTATGATTTATCCTTATGCAACAGAAAAAAATTAAAACTATAATGAATGATCCTTTTCACCTCTTAAATCCAACACAATTATCATAATTCTCAAAATGTGATGTAACCATTTATTCACTTGTCTGTCATTCCCACCAGATTATGAGCTTCTTCAACATTATTTGTATTTGTCTCACAGTGCCTGGGACATAGCATTTGCTCATGAAATGTTTGGTTGGTAAAAAGAAAACTTTGCCTACAGGCTTAAATGTAAATTCTTTCTGACATTTCAAATTGCCCAGAGCCTGGATCATCCCTACTTCACCTCCCCACTTTCCATGCTGATTTGGTTTCTTCCTGTTCCTCATGCGTGCCTCCATGCCCCTGCTCGCCCTGCTACTCCATACCGCAGCTTTTCTTCTCTAGGCGCAACCCTTCCCACCCATCTCAATTCCACTCTAAAAGTTCCTAACCCTACCTCTTCCCTCTAGCCTTCCTACGCAAGTAACACTGATCTTTCCCTTCTCTGAATTCCTGTATTACTTATTGTGGGTAATAAATCATTTTATCTCTTCATTATATCCAATGTGCTATAGCTACCGTTTAATTGAATATATCTTATATACCACGATCTGGGATATTCAGACCTTATTTCAAACAGTTACACAGCCTCCAGAAGTATAGTGGTGTTATCCCCATTTTGTAGATGCAAGGTAAACTGAGGCTCAGAGAGTTTAAGTAACTTGCTCAAGATTACACAGATCTGAATCCAGATCTTTCTAATTCTAAAAAGTCTTTGCTCTATCAGCTGTACCACAGTATTTCTTCTCCCTCTTCCCCACCTCAAAACAGAGCTTTGGGCTCTATTTTGGGCTCTATTTTATCCATCCTTCCCCATGTCTGCCAGATGTTGTAGATGCTTAATGAATATTTATTGAATTGAGTTGATAGGATTAATAGGGGTATTGAAACCTGTTCCCTTTTTTATGTTTTAATGTTTCATTGGGATGCCTTTAAAATTTTTTAAAATTGTTCTTTTTTGATCATTTTTCATAACTTTGATTAAAATACTTGTAAATTTGATGTTAAAGCCAATATCAAATATGTTCTTTATATTTTTTAAATTGAAGCACAGATTTTATAAATTTATACAATTTCTTTTGGTTCTATAATTTAGTAAAATTAGTTATTAATTTTGAAAATTCAAGAGGAAAATATATAAAATGTGATTTACATTTTTATAACATGTAAGCACAATTTTATTTAAAATAGGCACCAAAGACATTCTGTTTTAAAGATTGTCTCTGAAACCTATTGCAACTGCCATTATATTTTATAGTTCGAGACCGTGTTCGGACAAAAATGGAGCGTGATATCTTGGTAGAAGTTAATCATCCTTTTATTGTTAAGTTGCATTATGGTAAGTTATAAACCTGCTGCCCCCTCACCTCATCCCCGACTCCCTGAGTGCATTCAGGTATACTAATGTGTAGAAATACACTTATTTCTGTATATTCACATGTGTTTAGCAGATACATATAGTAAAGTCATAGAAATTAAACCATTACTTAAACTTTAGAAGCTTTTATCACATTTAGCTTATGTTTATTTTAAACATTATAGTGTCTTGAGTGGGTCACCATAGGAACAGGTAATAATAATAATTTTTTATTACATTAATAATCATGTACTAGCATTTTATAGCCCATATGTGTTAGCCCAACTTAAAAGCAAGAAAGATCCCTAATGTCCTGAAACTTTATCGCCTTTCCTTTTTTCCAAAGGCATATGTGCTTTTTCTCAGTGAGTAAATGTATGGTGATTCTTATTATATGTAATTAAAGCTAACAAACCCACATTTTTTCCTGTAGTAAAGTGAGATGGTTTTTGTATTTTGTTTCATGTTTAAAGTATGTCTTTTTCTTTTGGGAATTTTTCTTACTGATCATGTTTTAAAATTATTGTATTCCTGAGAGACTATTGCCTGAAGAAAATCTAACAAATGTTCTACTGGTTCCATAAAAAGAAACATTGCATTTAACATTTCTACATGGAAACTAAGAGAAATCAGTAGTTATCTTCTAAATAAAAGTCAGTTTAGATCTATGATATAATTATTAATTTGCTGCAAATAATAATTTCTGAATGAGTTGACCTAATATAAGCCTAAGAAACTAAACTATGGTGGATTAAACAAAAACTTTTATTCCTTCATTCAGCTTTTCAAACTGAAGGGAAGTTGTACCTTATTTTGGATTTTCTCAGGGGAGGAGATTTGTTTACACGCTTATCCAAAGAGGTATACAATTAATCTTTATTTTTAATCTATTTATACTCATCCTGTTTCAGCTAAAGCATTTATTATTCAATACTATGATTCTCATATTTTCTCTAAAGGCACAAGGTTCTTACATTGAAGAATCGGAGTTAGAGTTCTTTTTCTACCTTTTGAATTTATTCTGAAAGTAGGACTTTAAATTGATTAATTATCTTAGTCTTTTGTCCTGCTTCTATTACTTACAGTTTTTCAGAAGCAACAATATATCAATAAGATACCCCTAAACAACTGGTAGTGGAAATTCAGCATGCATCTGAAAGATCACTTTTCATTTCTAACATGTTACTGTAGTGGGGTGACAGTGGCACAATCTGAATATAGTTGTTACTTAACAAAATGCAAAATTATTTCCCCCATAGTGCATATTTTGCATTTAGTAAGAGATTAGTTGACTGATTTGATAATTTTTGCAAATTTTTCATAAATTATGGGTAAAATTACATGTAATAGCATATTTATAAATTTTGACTATTAAAACTCTGGGATGGAATTTTAAATGAAAATTACAGACAAAAAGAAAATAAAGACAAAAATATTATTTTATTTTAGGTGATGTTCACAGAAGAAGATGTCAAATTCTACTTGGCTGAACTTGCACTTGCTTTAGACCATCTACATAGCCTAGGAATAATCTATAGAGACTTAAAACCAGAAAAGTAAGGAATCATGCTACTAAGTTGAATACAATGTAATATCATTGTTTAGGAGGTAATAAAAAATAAAATTCATAGAAGTACCACAGCATTGCATTAGAGTACCTGTGCTTCACAATTCTGCTAACATTATTTTCTCATGTTTTTAAATACCTGTTAATCAAAAGTTCTGCTAATGTTATCTTGCTTTCATTTGCATTCTTTAATTTTTAATGATGTTGAAATCTGTGTTCATATGTTTATTGGCAATTTGTATTTTTGTGTGGTTTTTCTCTTCATGGCCTTTGTTCATTTTTCTTTTGGAATGTTATTTGTTCCCATTGATTTGTAAGAGACCTTTACAAATTAAGAACTTAACCATTTGGCATACAGGGTAGGAACAAAGTAGGTTTACAGTTGTTTGTATGGAAAATAATACAATAATAAATAATAATACAAGAATAAACTGTTTAGCATGCTCACAACTGTAAACCTACTTTGGCCCTACTCTGTGTATTAAAAATACATTTTTCTAGTTTATCTTTTAATTTTATTTATATTATTTTAACCTACATAAGTATTTTTTCCTTAAGATCTATCAGTCTTTTGTGATTTCTTTTATGACTTATATTCTGAGAAAGGTTTTTTCCAATCCCATGATCAGATTTTTTTCCCTAATTTTATGGGGTTTTTTTTTTTTTACTTTCAACTCCATTTAGAATACTTTTTGGTATGAGTTATGGCATATAGCTAATACTTTTCTCCAAATATCATTTGTTGAAACTTTTCCTCTTCACATGATTTCAGATTTTAAGTGTGAGTTGAGCAAATTTCTCATTGCTTTTATAATAGTTATCAGGAAGCTAATGTTTAAATTGTACACATTTCTGTGTTTTAATTTTTAAGTGTTTATCATTTTCAATAAGAAAGGTTTTTTTCCCCCTTTTTAAGGATAAAGAGGCTTGCTCTATCGAGAATTTTTTAAACAACTTTATTGAAATATAATTCATATAGCATGCAATTCATCCACTTGAGGTATACAATTCAATGGATTTTAGTATATTCGAGGTTTGATGCAACTATCAAGAATTTAGATATTACTTACATTAAAATGTTACATGCACAATTTACATAATATGTTACAGCAGTAAACAGGAAATGCTCCTTTGGAATCCTGTTAAAGTGATCATTCAGAAATTGTTATACTTTTCACATTTTATGTTTTTTTTTCCCATGTATTCTGTTTTGGGGATGTTTCTTATGAATCTATTTTTATTCCCCAGATAATTACTGAGTTTTTCTCATCATTTGCCCAATTTCTAACTATCATTACATAAAATGTAACTCCTGGTAAGAGTAAATATTCAAGTATATAATCCTTAGAAGAAAATAATTACTATAAACATAAGATTAAACATTCATAATATAAATATGGTAGTGTTTTATATCACTTATTTGAATGTATTTATTTTAGACCATTATATAAACATTGGTCATAAAACTACGTATAAAGCATGGGCCCTGTCTCAAATACTGAATAAGATCAAATATAGGTAAGATTGTTGATAGTGAGATCTTTCACATACATGTCTAGGCAATGCTATTATATTGAAGTAACATTTGTTTAATGATCCAAGTAAAGACCATCATACAGAACTTGGGAGAAATATAAATCTTTAGCCCAATTGTTTTTATGCACTGTGAGGATTTTTTCCAGACCTTTAAACTGTTATAAATATAGCTCAAAGTAATTATTAATAGCTGAAAGGGAACTTCGCTTATTGAGAGCAATACAGTTGACTTTTTCTTTAAAATATAATGGATGGACATGGCTACTTAAAAGAATTCTTTAGAAGGTGTAAGTAATACCCTTTTAGCCATGTTTTCTTTTTTCCTCTCAACATCAAGGATGATTTGAGGCTTTATTTTGTTTTTAGAACTGTCTTTCATGTGTTTATTAGAATGGAGGATGATTTCCACCATACCTAATAATTCCTTGTGTGTTTCCTAAATGTATTGCTCTGCTTTATAAACAATCATAATCAAGATTAGTATTTTTAACATAAAAAGTCTCTTGTTGCAAAGACACTTGAAAAATATGTCCCTACTGAATTACCCTCAGTGATAAACTTTATTGTTATCATAGTTGAATTGATGACATAGGAAAATTGGTAGTATTTTTGACATAGTAAAATTTCATTATAACAAAATTTGGCTTTCACATTTTTTAGTTAAGATTAAAAGTAAGGAAATGTGTATATTATGGAATTGCTATATTAAGTATTTGAATATAAGTGAATACTATATTAAGTACTTGAATATAAGTGAAACTATTTATTATTTGACCTTTCAAGTCAATGTACTAAAATACCTATCCAAAAATGCAATTGGCTTACAGCTTAGTACTCTATATCTCCTTATTTAATGGCATTGTTCTCCACTCACATATCTGCTAAGCCAGAAACTTGAGTGTCTTCTCCATTGGCTCTTCTTTATCACAATATCACCATATGTAAGAGCTCACTAAATACCCCTTATTTTTCCCTCTGAGTTGTTTTTTAAATTTGCAGATCTGATCATTTTTATCCTCCCCAAATGTAAACTTTTTTGGTCTTCAGTGCCCTTGAAAAGAAGCCCTAACTATTTGGAATGCCCTGTTGACCTGGCCCCATTCATTCAATGTGCGTTTCTTATTTGTGCCTTGCTAGGCACTGAGTTACAAGACGAATAAAGTCTAACCCTCTAGGAGTTCACAGTTTACTGAGAGAAAACACTGGAGAATGTGTTCGGTGAAGAGATTGGTCAGTGAAAACCAAGGAGTGTGAGGAAGGTGTGTTGAGGAGAAGAGGATTGTGTTGGTCATGTCAGAAAAAAAGGCTAGAAAAGAATTATTGAATTAGATGCCTTGAAAATGACCAAGAGAATGACAATTCTAATGCATTTGACTTAAACGTTTGGACCCTCTGTCTGTTGTGCAAGTACTGGGGAGTTTAGTTAGGCCACCTCTGCAGAAAGGCATTAGAAAGAGCAACTAAGGAGCATATATAGGCTTTGGTTCTTTTTCTCTTAGTTTTCTAGTGCTCCTGGCTCATTAAATACAAGTTTATAAGGCTTTATCTTTGGGATTTGTTATATATTTGTGTCCAAAAAATAACTTTTTTCCTCATTTACCTTTGCCTTCTTATTCATGGTCTAAAGCAATATTTTAGAGTGACTGTGGTGAGTTGATGCCATAACAAAGTAATTTTAGTTTTAATATCTAATTTTCTAGTGGTTTGAAAATATTTTTTTTGACTTTGTCTTTTTATTTCAGCATACTTCTTGATGAAGAAGGTCACATCAAATTAACAGGTAAAATTCCTCATTTTGTTAAAATATTCTCTCCTACTTTCTACATAAGTTTTCTTTTTAAGGTCAATCATAGTACAAATAATGTGTAACAATAAAAAATCTGGATTAGAATTTTTAATAGTTGATTTAAATACGGGAACTCAAAGTGTAAACTTTACATATGCAAATTATTGTAGGATATTTATGAATTCTATATTTATTTTGGCAGATTTTGGCCTAAGTAAGGAGTCTATTGACCATGAGAAGAAGGCATATTCTTTTTGTGGAACAGTGGAGTATATGGCTCCAGAAGTAGTCAATCGTCGAGGTCATACTCAGAGTGCGGACTGGTGGTCTTTTGGTGTGTTAATGGTAAGACTTGCTGTGTCTTTTTTTGAGAAGTTCAGTAGTGAAGAGAATAAAAATGTAAATTACATATTTTATTATATAGCAGTTTTTAAAAATTCTGTTATTAATATGATGCTTTCTTACCTTCTGCCCTTGAGATTTTATACTTACTAATACCTCTGATTATTTTTCCTTTTTGTAGTTTGAGATGCTCACTGGTACACTACCTTTCCAAGGAAAAGATCGAAAAGAAACAATGACTATGATCCTTAAGTAAGTACTCCCTAGTGGATATGTTTTGATGAAATTTTAAAGTAAATGCTTCAAGCAAAAAAAAAAGAGAGAGAGAGATTTTAGAGTGTTGGCTATAGTTTAAAAAATAACTACACTGGCTGGTGTGGCTCAATGGATGAGTACCAGCCTGTGAACTGAAAGGTTGCTGGTTCAATTCTATGTCAAGGCACATGGCTGGGTTGCAGGCCAGGTCCCTGGTTGGGGGTGTGCAAGAGGCAACTGATCATATTTCTCTTCCTCTCTTTCTCCCTCCCTTCCCCTTCTCTAAAAATAAATAAAATCTTAAAAATAAAAAAAAAAAACTGAGAAATTCATCAACGTACTGACATTAGTATTATGTGGGTTAAACACAAATAAACTCCATAAATTTAGAGTACTCACATTATCTTTGTGTTAATGGTGAAGTATTGAAAGCTTTACCTTTAAGATTTGGAATATGACAAGGATGTCCATTATTCCACTTCTGTTCACACTATCCTGGCGGTACTAGCAAGTACAGTAAGGCAAACAAAAGAAGTAAGGTTTAAGGTTTTAAAAGTTTTAAGGCTTAAGGAAGAAATATAATTGTCATTATTTAGATAACATGATTGTGTCCATAGAAAATCCAAATCTTCATATAAAGTCTTGGAATTAATGAGAATTTAGCAAAGTTGCTGGATGAAAGGTCAATAAAATCTATTTCATGTCTGTATACTAGCAACAGAAAATACTATTTATAATAATACAAAAATATCAAATACCTAGGGATAAATCTAGCAAAAGTTATAAAAGAACTCTGCGGAAAATTATAAAATTTTACTTAAAAAAATTTTAAAAGACTGAAATAACATGGAAGGTTGTGCTGTATTTATACTGTATTATGGCAGACCCAGTGTTAAAAAATGTAGATCAGTGTTATCCAAAGAAATACAGTATGGCCACATACATAATTTTAAATTTTTTAGTAGCAGCATTTAAAAAAGTGAGAAAGTTCAAAGTAATTGTTTTTTATACAGTTGTACACTAAATAACAGTGTTTCAGTCAATGACATACCTCACATTTGATGGTGGTCCCATAAGATTATAATGGAGCTGAAAATTTCCATCACCTAGTAATACAGCCATTGTAATGTAGTTGTGACACATTACTCAGGTGTTTGTGGTGATGCTAGTGCAAACAAACCTGCACTGCCTGCCATTCTTACAAAAGTATAGCACATACAGTTATGTACACTATGTATTTACCATTGTGTTACAGTTGCCTACAGTGTTCAGTAGAGAAGCATGGTTTGTAGCCATTGGAGAAGTAGGCTATACTCTGGATCCTAGGTAGGTAGTAAGCTGTACCACCTGAATTTACACAAGTGCTCTCTGGTATTTGCACAACGATGAAATCACATAATCACACATTTTTTCAAAATACATTCCTGTCTTTAAGCAGTGCACAACTGTAATATATTTTATTTGACCCAATATATATCCAAGACATTATGATTTTAGCATGTAATCAACATTAAAAATGATTCATGAGATATATTTTTCATACTTATTTGAATCTCAGTGTACATTTTACACTTACAATTTAGACTAGCCACATTTCGAGTGCTCAGTAGCCATATGTAGCTAGTGTCTATCATATTGGACAGCATAACTATAGTTTGAATGCAGATCAAATTTAAATCCTAACAAGTTTTTTTGTTTGTTTGTTTGTTTTTGCATGGGACCTGATTCTAATATGATAACACAAAAGACCAAAAATAGGTAAAACACTCCGAAGAAGATCAATATAGGGAGACTTGCTTTCTTGCTTTCCAAGTACCAAGCTTTACTATAACTGTAATTACAAAATATAGCATTGAAACAAATACAGAAAATAAACCTATGCAGTACCATAGAGAACCCAGTAACAAACCTATGCATATATGAGCACTTGGTTTACAACCATTGGAAATTGCAGAGCAGTAGAGAAAGAACAGCCTTTTTAAAGTAAATCATGCTGGAAAAATTGGTTTTCATGTAGAAAAAGATAAAACAATGCCTATCTCACGCCATATACAAAAATCATTTCCAAGTGTATTACATATATATGTATATATGTACACACACACACGCACGTTTAAAAAGGCAAAAATTCTAGAAGAGTATAGGAGAATACCTGTAAGACCTTGGGGTAGGAAGAGTAGTCTTCAGACACAAAAAGCTATAAAAGAAAAGATTGATATACTATAAAAGAAAAAGATTGATATATTATTACTACATTAAAATTAATATAACCAACAAAGGGCTTATATCCAGAATATATCAAGAACTCCAGTCAATCAATAAGAAAAAGCACAATACAAACATCATAGGTAAGAGACATAGGGGTGTCAATGGCCAATAAACTTAAAAAAGGTGCTCATCCTCATTAATCAGAAAATGCAAGTTAAAAGCACAGCAGGCTATAACTGCATGCCCAACAGTAAAGACTGACCATACAAATGCTGACAGGATGTGGCGCAATGGCAACTTTCTTACATAGCTGGAAGGAACATAAATACTTGTGTGACCACTTTGGAAAGCAGTTTTTGGCATTATCTTCTAAAGTCAAACACATGTATACCCTCATCTAGTAATCCCACTTTTAGGCATGCACCCAATTTATAGGCATCAATTTATATGCACATCAAAAAAAGCACAAAGGTGTTCATAGCAGCATTATTTGTAATAGTCAAAAAGTGGAAACTGGATCGATCATTAACTGGAGAATGGATTAATAAATTATTATATATTCATGCAGGGGTTGACAAACTACCTGTAAATATTTAAGGCTTTGCAGGCCACACAATCTCTGTCACATATTCTTAATGTATGTCTTTTGTGTCCAATACTTCAAAAAATGTAAAAACCATTCTTAGCTCAAAATCCATATAAAAACATACTGAGGCCTTTAGCCCATGGATGTTGTGTACCATATAGCAAAGAAAAGGAACAAACCACAGTTATATGCAACAGTTTGTCTAAATCTCATTAAGAAGGTTGAGCAAAGGCAGTTCAGACACAAAAGAATGAATGCTATATGATTCTATTTATAAAGTTTTAAAAACAAACTACAGCATAGTTGTTTTTCTTTTTTCCTTTTTTAAATGCAGATTGATTTTATTTATTTTGTAAATGTCAAAATCTATTATAAAATATTAAAAATTTTAAATCCATTATAAAGTCTCAGCAATTAAAACACCATGATACCAGCACAGAAATGATCAAGTAGATCAATGAAATAAAATGAGCATTCTAGAAACAAACGTATATATCTGTCTAACAATGTAATATATGATTAAATTGATATTTCAAATCAATGGGAAAATAAGGCTTATTCAACAAATAAGATGCATGGACCACTATTACTTGAATAAGGAAACAAATAGCCCTATTTCACACATTATACAAAAAATATTCAGGTGAGTTAAAAAATCACTATGTAAAATCGAAGGAGTTTTAGGAGAAACTACAAAATAATATTTTTCTTACCCTGAAGAAACGTATTCAAACCCAGAAGCTATAAAGTAAGATACTGACAATATGACTGTAGTAAACATTTAAGACTATACAGTAATATACATATTAAAAAAGTTTAAGGACAAGTAATAGAATAGGAAAGTATTTGCAACACATCTAAAAAAGGGTTAATAGTTTTTGGGGTTCTTTTTAGAAAAATTTTATAAACATTTAATCAAAAAATGGATAAAGAATACCAAAAAGCTATTCAAAGCTTTTTTAAAAAAAAGAAATAGGCAAGAAATATATAAAAACAGGTTTAGTTTCAACAAATAAAGTAACAATTAAAATGGCACATCATTGTCACAATCAGATTAATATGTATTAAAAAAATATTGGTAATATCAAGTATTGGTGACTGTGAAAGGAACTGGGTATTCATAGACTTTTTCTTCATCTTCTTAAAGCAGTCCCATTAGCATATCTTGCAATGCTGGTTTGGTGGAGGTGTATTCTTTTAGCCTTCTTTTGTCTGGGAAACTTTATTTCATCTTCCATTTTAATTGAGAGAATTGGGTAGAGCAGTCTTGGTTGCATACCTTTGCATTTCTTTACTTGGAGTATTGCCTTTCCCTTCTGGCTTGTAGTGTTTCTGTTGAGAAGTCAGCTGCTAGCCGTACCTAGGCTCCCTTATATGTTGCTACCTCTTTCTCCCTTGCTGCCCTAAGGATTCTCTGTTTGTCTTTGATATTTGCCATTTTAATGATGCTGTGTTTTGGAGTGGGCCTCATTGGGTTCCTCTTGAATGGAACCTTCTGTGCTTACTGGATTTGTGTGACTTTTTCTCTCCTCAAATTACAGAAGTTTTCTGTCATTACTTTTTCAAACAGGTTCTCTATCCCTTCCTCCTCTTCTCCTTCTGGCATCCCTGTTATATGGATATTATTACGTATCAGGTTGTCCTGCATTTCCCTCAATGCCTCTTCATTCTTTTTGAGTCTTTTTTTCATTTTCTTGCTCTTTCTGGGAGCTTTTATCTACCTAGTCCTCCAGCTCACTGATTCGGTCCTCGGCTTCATCTAGCCTGCTTTGGATTCCTTCTACTGTGTTCTTCAATTCAGAAATGGTATTCTTCATTTCCTCTTGTCTCTTATTGATTGTTTCTACGTTCTTTTTCATGCTGATATAGTTTACAGTAAGTTCCTCGTAGTTTCCCTGTCGCTTTTTGTAATTCTCTCTGAGGTCTCTGAGCTCTTTGAGCTTCCTTAGAACTGTTGTTTGGAACTCCATATCTGATAGTTTACTTTGTTCGAGACTTCCAGTAATCTACTGCCTGCGGCTGTCTCCTTCAGCTGTTAATCTATTCACTCTGCACTCAGCAGGAGACCTTACACAGCTCAGGGTGGGGTAGAGTTTCTCCTGGGGGCGGGGTTATTGGGTCCTCTCTCGATGCAGCTGTTTGGGGGACGAGTGCACACTGGGATCCCGCTGGCTACTCTCTCTGTTCTCTCCCCAAAGCCTCT